TAGATTATACTATGTATTAGATATTTTAAGTGGAACCAAATCGATCAAGATTAATCAGTGCAGTCTTACTTGAAAACATTTACTGCTACTTGGTATGTATGTACATCTGGGCCCTTTCACATTAAACAATTTTAGTGCTATTATTCCACTTTTACAGTCTTGATTCAATCTTAAGGAATTCTTCATTTTGTAGTTTAGGAGATATATTGATAACTATTAGTCAGAGAGCTCTACAAGTATATAGACATGGTAGTTAAAGTGGAATCATAGTAGTCTAGCTGTATGGCATGAAATTGTCTCTAGTGTTTAGCTTCTTACTCTGCTGCTATATCTAGTGAAGCTGAGAGATACTTCAGAGCTGTTTGTGTAGTTTCTAACAATAATCTTCACCATATTAAGCAATAGACCACTGCTGAATTTTTTTCCCCTGGATCTCCTGGACCTAAATAATTACAGACCAGTGTCAAACCTTCTTTTTTTCAGATAAGATGATTGAGAAGGCAGCTGCACTCCAACTACAGGCAGTCTTGATTGACACATACTTCCTTGACCCATTTCATACTGCCTTCAGAGCAGGACAGGGAGTTGAGACTGCTATGATTGCCTTGGTGGATGATCTCCCTCTCAACACCAGCAGGGGGAGTATGTCCCTGTTGGTGCTTCTAAACTTCTCAGTGGCTTTCAATACCATCCTTCTGTAATGCCTGGAGAGGTTGAAAATAGGAGGCACTGTGTTGCAATGGTTCCTGTTGTACTTCTCAGTCAGATTCCATTTGGTGGTGTTTGGGGATAGCTGGTCCTCAAAAAAAGGAGCTGTTATGTGGCATCCTGCAAGGTGCCATTCTATCCTCAATGCTTTTAAATATTTTTTACATGAAATTGACAGGCATAGGACGGGGTGTAAGCAGTATGCTGATGACACCCAGATATATTTCTCCATGCTCTCAAAAACAGCCTCAGCTAAGGATAGTATGTCTTTTCTTAATGAATGCCTGGAAGAGGTAATAGGCTAGATGAGGGGGGAAAAATGAAACTGAATCCAGAGATGCTTGCCATCAAGGTTCTAATTTGGGATGGAGGCGTGCCAACCAGTTCTGGATGGGTTGCATTACCTGGGGTTAATTAATTAGCCAAAGTTAACATTTTTATTTCAGTCAATGACCAGCAATAAAATAACCAGAAAGACATGAGCAAGGCATACATTTGGGCATTTAAACACAATTTTTAAAAAGTGAGTTTTTAAAAAACAGTGCTATGTATAAAACTTTAAAGGTCATTATATTTAAATAACTCAGGGAACATGAGGGGGAACAAGGAGGGAGGGCACAGTCGAACACATGTCCAAGGACTATAGAGTGGAGCACTAATTATAACTGTGACTAAAAGTTTCTAATAAATTAAAATGCTGACTCATGGTACCAGTTATCACCCAGTGAAATTTAAGCTCTACCACACAGAACTTGCCAACTTTATATGTTGCAAGAACATTGGTGTGCAAGAGCAGCATGGTGGTGTAAAATTGTTCTGAGCACCCTGGGTGTTTGTAAGGCAGTGGTGATATACTATTACTAATTTCTCTGTAAACTAGACACTGCAGGAACACGTGTTCTGTTGTTTCTATGAGTCCAGAGTCAAAAGGGCACAGTCTCTCCAGGATAGTGACTCTTCAGTACAGCGGATGGGGGGGGGGCATGACATTGTGCCAGGGTGAAGGCCTTCCAATGGTAGGGCACCTCTAGATTGGCAAAGAATGCCATAGGGGAAGTGTGATATCTACTAGCTTCATTGTTGGTAAAGGATGGGGAGCTGGCTAGACCTGACTGGTATTTTATAAGAGCTCTGGCTTGATCATATCCCATGCTGTGTAGCAGCCAGGGAAAAAAGCCCAGGAATGAGATTTTTGTTACTACTGCCTGCTTCCATGTGGACTGGAAGTCAACACACAGCATTGTTTGGGGGCAAGTACGTGGGGGAAAGAGATAGTGTAAGCCAGTAGTTGAGTATGGCCACCCACACCCTGGCCTCGACCTTTCATGAACCCTGTCTCTAGTCACAGGATGGCATTGGAGACACATCTTGGAACTTGCAGTGCCGATCTTTAAAATTTTGATTGCACAAGCTCGAGAGGGATGAAATTGGAGAAGGCGCCTAGCTGGGCACCATACAGGAGCTGTAATACTGATTTGGTTTCAAATAGCTTGAGGGCTACAGGCATAAAGTGGCCCCCTTTTGTCTTGAGATATTTTAGCATGGTTATAGGGCTCCTTTGCACCATCTCAGCCACATGGGCCCTATGCACTTTTCTACTGTTGGAAAAGTGGAGGACTACTCCCAGATATTTGAAACATGGGACTTGCTCGGGTTTATGTCACCCTATGCTCCAGGAGTGACTCTTGGGTCTTCTGGCAGGTACCATGATTTGGGCTTTCTGATAGTTAATTTGCAATTGATCTGCATTGCAGTATTGTATTAATATCCTCAGTGCTCTTTTTGGGCCAATAGGTGTTCTTGAAAGTAATGCAGCACCATCGGCATAAAACAAGATGGAGAGTCTCTTCCAGAAAGTTTTGTGGGGTGGAAGTCCATGTTGAGAAGATGATCCACCAGCGAGTTGATGTAAAAGTTGAAAAGTAGTGGGGTAAGGATACAGCCTTGCTTGACACCTTTCTCAGTTCCTACTGCATTGGTGAGGTGGCCCTGGGGGTTCCATCTTAATCAGAATGAGATCCCTTCACAGAGTAGGCAGATTAAGAATTGCAGTGGTCGATCGATTGAAGAGGTCTCCAGTTTTTCCCATAGCTTAACTCGGGAAATGGAGTCAAAAGCTGCTTTAAAGCTTATGAAGATGACATAGAGCAAATATGTGTTTTGGGAAGAGTATTTTTTTATTAGATGTTGTAATACTAGACATTGTTCTATGGTGGATCAGCCTTTCATAAATCCAGCTTGCTGCTCTGCAAGCATGTTTTCCTGTTCCAGTCAGTCCTGAAGTTTCCATTGTAGATATCTTACATATAATTTCCTAATTGTATCAAGGAGGCTAATTGGTATGTAATTTGCAGGGTCATCCATTTCCCCTTTCTTTTTATAAATGGGGAAAATGATTGCAAGTTCCCAATCCTTGGGGATTTTGTCATATTTGTTGATACATGTGAACAATGAGGCTAAGATAGAGGTCCAGAAATCCAAATTGTTCTCAATGACCTCTGATGGAATTCGATCTTCTCCTGGAGCCTTTCTTGGTCTTAATTGAGCAATCAGGTTTTTGATCTCTGTTGCTGTTCCCGGTGACCAGAATGGAAGATTTCCTATAGCTGGGTTCAAGCGGTCACATCCAGCAGTGGTGTCCATATATAAGTCCTGGCAGTATACCTCCCAGGTTCCTGGGGGGATGTGAGAGTTCACCATGGGTTGATTATAAATCTGGGCACTTGATGTAATATGCCAGAAGGTGACTGAGTATTTGTATTTGACTGCTTGAATGAGCCATGCCCAGTTGGTTTTCATGGCTTCCCTTTTCTTGCAAGCCAAAAATTGCTTATAGTGTCTCTTCTGTTGGATAATTTAAGTGGCATAGAAGATGTAAATTTTATTGGAAAGCACATGGATTCTTTGGATAAATAAGCCCTACTCAACCTAGTCCCACTGTTACCCAAAAATCCCAAGGCCATGGAAGGGACCCCTCAAACACCATGCCCAGCTGGCCAAGTGGGTCCAGGGCACAGGCCCAGCCCCTGTGAACAAATGTGGTCCCATTTCGGGCAGAGTGGAATACAGATAGAGCAGAGAACTAGGAAATAATGGTTTTACTTACACTGATCAGCTGGGGCTGCTGAGTGAATCAGACTGACTACGAATGCCAAATGACCAGGATAAGATCACTCTTATAACTTGGAATGTTGCTGGTTGGCATGCATCCACTAGAGACTCCTCCTTTACAGAATTCCTTTCTCAGCATGACATTATAAGGATATAGGAAACTTGAACTGGGAGTGACCTGATAGTTGATGGATTTCACTCATTTTCAGTTGGGGCAGAGTCAAGGCAAAACATGGAAGAACCAAAGGAGTATTAGAGATCTTAGTCTCCACCACACTATGTGCCATCACAAAACCCCAGATATTTATAAAGAGCTTTTTTTTTTTTTTTGCTTTCCAAGCTCCCTCACTAATGTTCTCCTGGAGAACTACAATTTCACTACAGAAGAGCTTCAGAAGTAGCTAAACTGCAGCAACTTTACACCCTTGAGACAACAACGGCACCACTCCAATCTCAGGTTTTACAAGGGTTTTAATATGACTCTTGGTTGACATCTTTCAGAAGTCAGTTTTTCAACTGCATGCAGATCTACATATTTGGCTTCTAACTTTATCAAGGTTTGCAGATGTCTTCTAGCTAGCTGTAATGAGCCCCAGGTAGGGGTTGCTCCTCTGTCGTTACATATTGTCAAACAAACTTTCTTAGGAGTAAGCACCATTTTGAAGAGCTTCCTATTTCATGGAATAACAGGGTTGACTCCTTAATGGGAGCTTTACACATAGTCTGTTTTACAGATAGCTTTTTCTTTTCTTGCTCCTTAATTATAGCATCCATTTTACAATTGAGGATTCTTAGCTCCTTGTAAATATGCTCGACTATAATGACAACTAGTTGTAATATTTTGTTGGGGCAGTCTAGCTTAGCAGCATTCTTCACCTTCCTCTGTGTGCTTTCCAATGTAATTTACCTCTTCTATGCAACTTAAATTATCTATACTTCCGAAAGGCTGTGTGACTTCTTTATCTTCCTCATTTTCCTCCCCTCTGTTGTCAGCCAGGGCTGAGAAGTAGTTTGCAGTGGAAACCTGACTCTTGTAAAAGTCTGCAATTTTGAGTTGTTTTGTTATCAGGGGAGTATTATTATCCTCCATCTCTCTCTGACACTTTTTTGCCCCATATTCAGCCACTTGAATATTCCTTATCTGCTGCACTGGGTATATATGCTATCTTTTGTTTCAGCAGAAAGTAAAACATTTGGATATGCATTAAAAGAAGTTTATCTGGCCTTGACGCAGCTCTTCGAGATGCAGTTTTTCATCTCCTGCAGGCTGGGTGAGTATTAGCGATCTCTCTCAATTTGGTGTCATCTGCAAACTTGATGAACATACAATCTAAACCTTCATCTAAGTCATTAATAAAGATGTTGAACAGCATTGGGCTCAGGACAGAACCCTTTGGCATCCCACTAATCACTTATTTCCAGGATGAAGAGGAACCACTGGTGAGCACCCTTTGGGTCTAGTTGCTTAACCAATTCCAAATCCACCTAACAGTAGTACTATCTAACCCACATTTGACTAGTTTGTTTGCAAGAAGCTCATGGGGGGACCTTACCAAAGGCATTACTGAAATCAAAATATGCTACATCCACAGCATTCCCTACATCTATCAAGCTTGTAACTCTATTGAAAAAAGAGGTAGAATTAGCCTGCCATGATTTATTTTTGAGAAATCATGTTGACTTTTAGTAATCACAGTATTCTTTTCTAAGTGCCTCCTTAATGATCTGCTCCATAATTTTTTTCTGGTATTAATGTCAGGCTAACTGGACAGTAATCATTTGTAGATGAAGAACAAAGGGAGTCCTAGCACCATAACAACTAGGGGTGAGAAAAGCGATATATAAATGCTGCAAATAAATAAATAAATAAATAAATAAATAATAAAAAGGAGGAGGCTAACCAAGTAAATACATAAACTCACAAGAAAGTCTTGAGAAGTTACAGAAACCAATGAATTAAGCCTTGCCAATTCTAATATGTTTCTGCTGTAATGATTTGAATATTTGCACCTTTCCTCTTGCCTGAATCGGAGTCCTACCTAACTGGAGAAGATCCATAAAAATGAAATTATCAGGTCTAAGCCCTGGCAACCCTTGTGCAGTCAGTTGTAGGCCCTGCTTTGAAACTAGGGCCCTGGCAATAGTCCATGAATGGGGATGATAGCTCTTTCATAGGGCTTAATGCTATAATTTTTTTAGATTACAACTTCAAGATTAAATTTCCAATTTTCTAAAACCTGATTTAAAAAGCATTACTCGTCTCACAGGAGGAACTAACACTACTTTAAGAGTAGAAGTCAGTATGAATAGCTGCCACAATGCAAGAACTGGTTGCAAAAATGATCTTCAAGAGCACCTATACTTAAGACCTGCTGTTTTTGGCTTTTTCTGACGTGCATATGTGTGTCTTAAAGCTGTCTGTCAACCTATGACTTTTTGAAATCTTCCATTTTTGAAGACCAACTTGTACTTAGGAAAATGCACTCTTTCTCAGTTGGAAACTAGATCAAATACATGTACTTAAAAAAAACAACAACATTTAAAAAGAACTGGCTCATTTTGAGAGCCCATATCAACTATCTGATCGCTCTTGTTCCTATCCAACCCACAATCTTGATGAAAATGTTATTTCCACTGGCAGAGTGGATTACTTTCTCTGATAAAGTAAGTTGGGAGAGGAGTTACAGCCATGGAAAGTGTTGAAATTTTGTTATTGTTACCAGAGTTCCAATCCAACACTCAAACCACTATACTATATTGGCTCTTCAAGTGAATCTAGGTAATGCTTAAGTATACTTAACTAAGGACCTCATCAGATTGAGGTCACTGATCCAGGTCATTGAGGTCACTGATCCACCATGGCTCGTGGCAAATCCAGCATGGGCATGGGGAACCTGTACTCTACATCACCCCTACCTCATCCCAGGGTGGAGCATCACTGCCCAGTTTCCCCATTGTTCTCTAAGCAGCTTGGGACGCCTCCCGTGTTTCTGACGGTGCCTCTTACACCACTTTGACCTCACTTCAGGCACAGAACCCCACCTGAAGTAGATCAACATCATGTGAGGGAATCTGGTGGGTTCTATGCCTGAATCATAGAGTTGGAAGATACTTCATGGGCCATCCAATCTAACCCCCTACCTAGAAGCAGGAAAATCACATTCAAAGTAACCCTGACACATGGCCATCCAGCCTCTGAAGTGAGATCAAACTGTCATAGGATGGGAAATTATGCTCATATGATGAGGTCCTAAGTAGTTGATACAGTACAGGCCATTTTTATTAAAACGTTTTTTGTTTCATATGATTTAAAAGCAGGATTGTTTTACTGAACTAGATCTTTTTTTTGTAAACACTAAAAACTGTTGTTCACTTTGACCTGAATAATCATATACCATCTTCAAAATCAGGACTTCTGAACATTTTCACTTGAAAGTTGAATAGAGACTTTTTCTAGTTCTGACTCACAGGGGATCTTGGGCCTCCCTGCTTACCCCAAGTGTATACTGCACTCATTGAATCTGTACCTCAGCTGTGTTTCTTTCAGCCACATTGTTTTTATATTGCTTTCAATTGTGCTGTTACTTGTTTTTTCTAATGTTTTAATTGGTTTAAGTGTTTTACACATATGTTTTAATTGTAAGCTTGGGCGTGCCCCTTGTAAGCCACCCCGAAAAGAATATATGGCTGTCTGACTGAACAATAAACGTGATATTTTATGGAGAATTGTTTATGAACCTTGGCAGTCTAGAATCCAGTCATGCAAAAATATCTACTTAAGAAGTATTCTACTACGACTACTTCTTAAATAAATATTTTTGCATGATTTTGGATTCTAGACTGCCAAGGTTCATAAATTCTAAGATCCAGCGCTCAGACAAATAAACTGCCAAGCTGTTCAAAGATTAACCAGGCAATCTAAACCCTTGAAAACTTCCTGCCCTTTTATGTTATTAAACACCTGACATTTAAGATCCTTGACTGATAACACAGATGTCCTACTGCATGTATTGTGTAATGAAACATGAAATAAAACCTGCCCAATAGATTTTGACAGAACTCTGCCATTGGTTTATAATCAAACAATTCTCTTTTTTTTTCCCAAGGAAGGTAATTGCTTGCAAAAATAATATTTTCAAAGAGAATAGTTCATTATAGGAAACACTGAAGATATGATTTATTTCATAGTCTTTAGAAATCTAAGCTGAAATTGTTTGAGATCTCTCACAGCAAAAGATTTATCCCAGCAATGCATTTCTCCATGAGGATATCATACACTGGAAGGTTCTACAATAGAGGCACCACTAAACTCAATGAGAACTGAAAACCATGCTATCTCCTTATCCAGTTCTCATTCATTTGTTGAAGCAGGCTTACATGACTTCAGTGATTGTGATGATCATTCAGCTCAATTATACACCCACATTTTCTTTGAATTAAGCATATAGTGGAGCTGTAGAAAATGGTTAGTCAAGAGAAATTAGATATCTTCTTTCTTATGGAGAAGGTTGAAGACAGCATTAAAGAATCAGTAGCTAGAACATTGCATTTGGTCTCAGGTTGAAAGCCAACCCAGCCATTAAAATTAATGGGCTGCTTTCTTTTCCCCTGCTCTGCCTCCCTTTCAAGTTCATTGTGGCAGGAGAAGGACTTTCTTCATATAGGTTCTTGTGGGTTTTTTCGGGCTATAGAGCCATGTTCTAGAGGCATTTCTCCTGACGTCTCCTGAGGTCACTACCTCTGAGGATGCTTGCCACAGATGCAGGCGAAACGTCAGGAGAAATGCCTCTAGAACATGGCTCTATAGCACGAAAAAACCCACAAGAACCTAGTGATTCCAGCCATGAAAGCCTTTGACAATACTTTCTTCATATATTTCAGATTTCAATATTAATGTCAAAAGTACCTAGTATGGTTTTACATAAGATTTGTGATACATTAAAACAGTAAACACCCTGCCTTCATCGATCCCTTCCCAATAATGTAAGGTATCTCAAGAATATGGGTACAGCCTCCTATCCATCAACTCCTGTACCTCATTGACTAACATTAATGAATAGTAATGGTTAGGTAATTATTTATTCCTGAAATAAATAAAGGAGGAAGGGAGAATTTGGAAGGTCAAAACTAAAAAAACCCCAGAAAGACAAATATCACTTAAGTAAAAGAAAAAATTCAATATTAAATATCTTGCACTCACAAGGTAAAAATGTAGAGATTATAATACAACAAAAGAGATAAAGTACATTTTACTCTTAACATGGAAATTGACCTTTGATATATTATTTTGATGTGACACTGATGTGAACATTCACAAATAGAGAAATCTTTTTATAAAGGCATATGCGTGAATAGTCTGTATATGGCTATTTTAACTTTAAGCGATATTGAACAGTCTTCTATGTGGAAGAATGGGGCATAGTTCCCCCAAAATAATATATGATGCATGTTGTTTTGGTTGCCAGTGTTTTCTCACCCCTTCCTCTGTCAATTAAAATTTGTGACAAAGTGAAAATAGCAAACATTTCTGTGCACATATCACGAAGTCATGCTGGAGAACAAACCCTTCACTGAGGCATCTGGGGCCAATTTTTGTCAATAAGAAAAACTGGGAATTGGATAGTTTCTGAATTTTCACATTCCCTGTGTAGTTTTCTTCTGCTGTCAACAAGTGTCAGGAACTGCATATCTTGCTTTTACTCATAATAAAATCATCTCAGCTGGGTGCAGATATGTGATATTGGAGGTGCCTAGACTATGACCTGCAAGGCTGACCTTTCATCCAGCTCCATTAGCTTTTTACAACCATACCTAGCAATGAATGCAGATTTCATTATAACTGTTATTAGTAGTTCATTCAGCCTTTCAGAGTTTTGTATTCAAGCATGCAGGCAAGTTGCTCAGGAAGAATTTTAATTCCTATCTCCTGAGCTATTTCTTAAATAATATTTCCTGCTTTTTGTCAGAGAACATATCTCATACTTGATAGAATATCGATCAAAAATTCTTCAAGGCATTTAAAATCCTATCCAAAGACCCTTTTCCTGAAGCCAAAAGGCCTCTACCAATGCACAGAATCTCTTTGCAGGCATTTCATATAAAACAATGGATTGAAAAATAGATTGGTCGTTCTGGTTCTTTTTTTCTTGGGGAATTTAGGCCCCATCCACACAGGCATTATAATCCGACTGTAAACCAGGGATTGGAGTGTCTACAAAGCTTACACCCCCCTGCCAATGTGACTTCAGAGTATTAATAGGGATGGTTGCTG